AGAGAGAGAGAGAGAGAGAGAGAGAGAGAGAGTCCAAAAGAAGAAGAAGAAAGCAGCAGGGGAAGCAGGGGGGCGGGGGGCAGGAAACGAGAGAGAAGGTAGGTAGGTGGTCGAGCGAGCAAGATGCAGGCCACCCGTCTCCTACTGGAAGAGCCGGTGAGGTTATCAACGATCTTGACGAAGACGGTCGAAGACCCGGCAACGGCACATGTCCAAGCGTTGACCAAGATTATTGGGACACTGGGACCGGAGTCGAGAGATGTGGAGACGATAGAGAACCTACTGCGCGCGGGAATGACTGTGGCGCGCTTTGATTTCTCATGGGGAACGGAGGAATATCATCAGGAAACTCTGGAAAATCTGAAAAAGGCGATCAGGAAGACCAAACGCTTGTGCGCTGTGATGCTGGACACCATCGGCGCAGAGTTGCAAATCAGGAATCGCTCGGAGAAGCCAATAGCATTGAGAGCGGGAGAGAAGGTGGTGTTAACTACCGAGAGACCAGGCGTGGAAGCAACGGCAGAGGTGCTGCCAATCAACTCAGCCAACTTCTCTAAGACGATGAATGTCGGCGACACAATATTTCTAGGGCAATACCTCTTCACGGGCAGCGAGACGACCTCGGTGTGGTTGACCGTGGACAAGGTGGCGGATGACGAAGTCGTGTGCATCCCGAAGAACTCGGCCACGTTGACAGGGGCATTGTTCACCGTCCACGCGGCGAAGGCGCAGATGGCGATCCCGACTCTGACCGAGAGGGATCTGCAAATCTTGGGCACGTGGGGCCGCCGCAATGCCGTCGATTTCATCTCTCTCTCCTATACTCGCTCGGCCGACGATGTGCGTGAATGCAAAGCCCAGCTGGAGAAGATGGGAGAGCTGAGGCAGACACAAGTCTTTGCGAAGATCGAGACTGTTCAAGGCCTCCTGAACTTCGACGAGATCTTGAAAGTCTCCGATGGCATCGTCTTGTCGAGGGGTAATTTGGGAATTGACATCCCGCCCGAGAAGGTCTTCCTGTTCCAGAAAATGGCGCTGTACAAGTGCAATATGGCGGGAAAACCGGCGGTGGTGACGCGTGTCGTCGATACGATGACGGAGACCCCGCGGCCCACCCGAGCGGAGGCTACTGATGTGGCGAACGCAGTGTTGGACGGTGCTGATGCGATCATGCTTGGGGCCGAAACTCTCCGGGGTCGTTATCCTGTCATCACGGTCAAGACAGTCCGTCGCATAGCGGGCGAAGCGGAGAGGGTATTCAATCAAGAAGAGCACTTCAAGAAAGCGGTCAAGTACGTAGGAGACCCTATGACGCAGCTGGAGGCCATAGCTTCGTCTGCGGTGAGGTCGGCCATGAAGGTGGGTGCATGTGTGATCATCGTGTTCTCCTCCTCCGGCCGCGCCGCCAGGCTCATCGCCAAGTACCGGCCGTCCATGCCTGTCCTTGTTGTTGTCATCCCAAAACTGTCCACGAGCAACCTCCGCTGGACCTTCACTGGCGCATTCCAGGCCCGGCAGTGCCTCATCATGCGTGGCCTCTTTCCCATGCTTGCAGATCCCCGCCACCCGGCGGAAAATGTCAGCAGCACAAACGAATCTATCCTGAAAGTCGCACTAGATTACGGCAAGGCAGCTCATATCATCAAGACAAGGGATAGAGTCGTCGTCTGCCAGAAGCTCGGCGATTCCTGTGTGGTCAAAATCATTGAGCTTGATTGATAGAATCTGTCTGTGTTTGTATGTGTGTGTTTGTGTTGTCATGTTGGCTATGGACAACTGCACAAAAAAAAGCACTTCTGTGTGTGTGTGTGTGTGTGTGTGTGTGTGTGTGTGTGTGTGTGTGTGTGTGTGTGTGTGTGTGTGTGTGTGTTTTGGTCTAGCTTGGTGAGCTGAGCTTGATAAGGTAGTATATATATATGTATTTGTAGGTAGGTTTTTGCTGGGGTAAGGGGCGCAGGTGTGGGCTGGGGGGTTGAAGAGAGAGATAGGTTTCATACTGAAGAGCGCATATTTACTCACACCGCTACAAACATGGGACTCTCCTGCTGGATGTATCTGACCATCGTTACGGCCAGTCGTGTGCATGTATGTCACCGCGACTGTGAGTCCAGGAATCATCCGTTGAGGAAAAAAACTAGTATAACAGTGGCCGATGTATTTTGCCACCATCTTTGTGAAGATGCATTCACCATTCCTCACGTTCGTTTGGTTGGTTAGAGTTGTCCAGTGTTGCTTGACCGAGGGAGGCCCCAAGGAACTCGTCTCTTTTTCCTTTTTTGGAACTCAGCTCTTTTTTTGCGGCGCCCTTATTACTCTTCTTTGCGGCGCCCTTATTACTCTTCTTTGTTGCTGTGTCTATTGGACTCCTATTTCTTCCCATGTTTTCCAACTGCCTTGCTGCCACGGCCTTGTGGCGATCGTTGTCGTAGACACACTGTTAGTCCTTCATGCCCATCGTTTTTGGTGGGGGGGAGGGGGGGGATTGTTGTGGGGGTAAGCTAAAATAAGATATGGGCCAGATTTCGCTCTGCGGTTGTCGTCCGCAGTGTCGGAGTGAAAGTCGATCGCGATCTTTCCCCCCGAACCTCTTGTCCTCATTACCCCCTTTTTTCAGGGGGGTGCATTCTGGTGATGCCACTTGTGCAGTCTGGATGTATTGGGATGACTCTTTTGCCGTCTTCCCTGTTTTTCTTTATGCCCTCCTGGCTGCGTTTGGTTGGTTGGATCTGAAGTTTTCAGTATTGTTTTGGCTTCGCTAGAGGTTTTCAGTAGTGATAGAGTTTTATGCGTTTTGGAAGTGGACGGTAAGAGGGGTTGGGCTCGATCCGTTGACCTAACTGGACCCCTCCTGGGTTTTGTGTGTTTAGTCGGAGGGCTTTTTTCTCTGTTTGCTATCGGATCTTGCTGACATAGGGGGGCTTTAGTAGAGTAGGTTGTTCTGCTTCTGCTTCCACTTCCAAGTACTGTCCGATTGCAGTTCTTCTTTACGGTACCGTGTTTTCTCTACTATCAGCCTGTGGTCGTTCGTTGATTCGATTTGGTTTGTTGGTCGCGAGGGAAGAGCTAACACTCGTGGTCACACTGTTCGACTCGTTGGAAGACGAATGCATCATCGTATGATTCGGTTCGAAGAGGAGTACCGTGTTTTCTCTACTATCAGCCTGTGGTCATTCGCTGATTCGATTTGGTTCGTTGGTCGTGAGGGAAGAGCTAACGCTCGTGGTCACAGCGTTCGACTCGTTGGAAGACGAATGCATCATCGTACGATTGGTTGGAAGCGGAGAGTGTTGTGGAATGGTTGTTTGAAGAGGAGTGCATTGTCGAATGGTTGTTCGAGGAAGAATGCGTGGAGAAGACCAAAGGCCAATGCGTCCTCACCATTGGATTGTGTCATCGTATGGTTGGAGGACAAGTGTAAGGAAGGAGAGATGCCTTCTGGATGAATTACAGTCTGAACTTGGAAGAGGGGTGCGTCCACGTGGGTGGCGCACTGTGGAATGTATGTTGCTGTCTGCTTCAAAATGATATTTGCTGCTACCACAACGTTGGCTGTACCTTGTTTTGACTTAATGCGAGAGAGAGAGAGAGAGAGAGAGAGAGAGAGAG